CCTTCCTTCCTTCCTTCCTTTCTTTCTTTCTTTCTTTCTTTCTTTCTTTCTTCAGAGCCTTTTTTGTATTGTAGTAACCAGATTTGGACACAGTGTTCCATATGTGCCTTCACTGGTGCAGTATAAAGCAGGACTATAACTTCTTGTGATCTTGATGCTATCCTAGGACTGCATTGGCTTTTTTGGTAGCTGCAGCACACTGCTGACTCATGCTTAAGTGGTGGTCCACCCTCTCACAGTTACTATTTTGAGTCAGGTACTGCCTATTCTGCATCTGTACATTAGGTTTTTCTTGTCTAAGTGTAATACCTTACTTTTCTCACAACTGAACTGCATTTTGTTGGATAGGGCCTAGTGTTGAAATCTGTCAAGTCCCTCTGCATCCTGAGTATGTATCTTCTAAACTGTGGGTTATTCCACGCAGCTTGGTGTCATTTGCAAATTTCATGAGCTCCCCTCATTCTAGATGATTTATGAAGTACTGGGCCCTAGACAGAGCCTTGAGTATCCCACTGTATGCTTCCCTTCATGTAGATGTAGTTCCATTAACTCCCACCGAGTTCACTTGGTCAGCCAACTGTGAAGCCATCTGATAGTGGTGCAGTCTATCCCACATTGTTCTATCTTTCCAAAAAGTAGGCTGTGATCGACTTGTCAAATACCTTACTGAAGTCCAAGTAAACTATATCCACAGTATTTCCTTGACCCACTAATTTAGTTACTTTATCAAAGAAGGCAACAGGTTTTGTCTGTCATGATTTGTTCTTAACAAGCCCAGGTTGGCTTCTAGGGATCACTTTATTCATTTCTAGGTATTCAGAAATCTGCAGCTTGATCATCTTTTCAAGGAAGAAATTGTCATTTAAACAATAAAATCCTTATTTCAGGAATTATGCAAACTTAAGGCCATCCCTCCACATTAAAAATATATCCTTACTCTTTATTGTTCATTTCCATTGAAAAGTTTTTATTTTATAAAGCAGCAATTATTGATTTATTTGTGGTAGGTGTTGCACTAGAAAATTTCCAAGACCCCCTCCATATATGTATGTGTGTGTGTGTGTGTGTGTATGGTATTCAGCTTTGTTTGGGTATTTTCACACTTCATTATAGTTGTGCTTTTAAAGTTGTAGTGACGTTTCGGCAGAATCTCATCTGCCATCATCAGGCTTCTGTATAGTGTTCGTCTGTGAGTCAGACTTTCACAGCCGTTTCTGTTTTAAATTTGGTGCTAGCCTGCTGCTGTGCCAGAATGGTTTTTTCTTCATCCTGATTGGTTGGGAGTCTTGGTCTGTGTTTATTGGTCTTAGAGTTTGCTATGTTCTGCTTGATTGATGTTTCTAATATCTTCTGTCTGTTTTGTGGCTTTTTTTGTCTTGATTGGCTGGCAACATTGTGTTCCTGTATTGGAGGCTTTTAGTGCGGCTTGGCTCCGAGTAAACGGACGGCTATCATTTATTAGGAAGCTAGGTTTCATCTGGGTGCCTGGTTGGGGTGTGTTTGAGTGGAGGTATCAGAGGGAGTCTGTTTGTGCCCAGGTGTTTGCCTGGCTTGTGGTGTGGAGATTTTTTTGTTTGAGAGTGCAGGCTTCCAGATAATTGACAGTCTGGTGGAGTCATCTCTTCTATTCATGCTTTCAGGTCTTTTTTCAATCTCTATGGCTTCTCTGATAATTCTGCAGCTGGGGTTTTCTATAGCGGCTAGAGTTTTGGTGCCATTGAAGTCGATGCTATGATGCCTGATGATGGCAGATGAGATTCTGCCGAAACATTGCTACAACTTTAAAAGCACAACTATAATAATGTGGGAAAATACCCGAACAAAGCTGAATACCATACATATAAATACCCATGAAAACTTAAGAAGATATATATATATGTATGTATGTATGTATGTATGTATAATTACCATTTCTTTCTTGATTAACCCTATTCCCTAAAAAATCATTAACATTATTCTTGATGGGTTGGTTATACAAATTTATCATTTTAGGAAGTCATTTATTATTTTAGAATCCCTAACTCAGTATGTGAATATTATATTAAATACTAGTTTGTATTTAATCTGCTAAGAAAAAAATAAGAAAACCATTTTTCAACTTTCATTGTCCTATCCTATCTTTGATTTTTAAATATATCCATTTAGAAAAACATTTGAGACAATTTGCAATGTCATCTAGATTAGAAGGTATTTCTAACTTTTACCACAGCAGGACTAAATGGGAACATGTAGAACTGCTGCATAAGCTTGGATATATTTCTCAAATCGGCTTAATAAAAAAGGGGACATTACCTTAAAACAAGATCCATCCTACTGGTTCAATAATTCTAGAATGAAGATGCATATAAGACAGTACCAATGTCTATAATATCTACATTCACTGTGTTTCATTTGTTAAAAACTGCTTGATATTGAGACCAATAAAAACCATGCAATCCCACTTAGTATATTTAAAAGCCATACATCATTTGAATAGGTTTCAACAAATTGTGAAGCAACGTAATTATCAAATTATAAGACCAACATCAGAATAGGTAAGAATAAGCATCAAAATTCTAACACTGAAATGCCCAGAATACATTAGCTATTTATAAAGTTAGTTATTGTTGGCTCTTTGTTTAAACAAGCTCCTTGGCACTTAATGAAGCATCCACATTAGATGTGTGGCATATTCTAGAATAGGCACACATCTAAAGCATATTCTAGAATTAGAAATAGCTTCTTTCTAATCAAATTTGTGCCTTGCTTCAAAAGACTAACTGAAGAACCTGGATGCCTCCATCCATATATGACTCCACCTCAAGAAGCCTGAGGTGGAGTCATATACTTTGCTAATTTGTTGTTTGCTTAGTGACCTACAAGCAAAAAGGAAAAATATATTTTGAAATTATTCTCAGAACACAAAAATCTGGCTTCATATTGCAGCTACGCTATGGGTTCTTTTGCTTCCAACTTCACTAATAATAACTGGGTTAATGCAGGGGTGGAGTGCAAAACCTTTCCTGCATAAAGAAGGTACACTTAAGTCTTTGAGTGGCATGAGGGTCCCCAGCCAAATGGGTGGAATCAGGGGGGGGAAAAACCACCTAAGTTTGAATAATAATAAATGCATTCAATACGTTTTTCTGTCACTTTGAAAATGTGCTGACAAACTTTTGATCTTTTTCATATTATGCAGCCCCTTGCTAAGCTGCAAACCAACCACATACAGGTCTGTGCAATATGTGAAATCCATCGGTCTCCATTAAATAAGGTTATTGCAAGAATGTTCATGTCATCTCAAAAGTCTGTCCAGCCAAAAAGCTCTTTTGTATCCACTTACAAAGGAAAATGTTTTTAATACGAGACAGCTGGACTCATTGAACCTTACAGGACTATGACAAAACCAGATCTGAGAGCAAGCCAAGACCAGTGAGACAGCAGAGGTGGACTTGCACTGACACACTCCGTGAACTTTGGTGCAGGCTTGAACTGAAAGCCCTACCTTGAACGCCTGCCTGTCTGCCAGCCTGCCTCTCAGAACCGGCTTCTCTACGCTCAAAGACGTCAGCAATTGTCCCCACCCAGGCCGGTCCCTTTACAGAACAGAAGATCTGGCATGGCTGTGCTTTCTTCATACTCCTCTAAGCAAAGTCTGGATGGATGACTCATCCATCTCTCACGCATTTCTGATAAATATTGCCTCAAGAACCATTATTCCGCAACAAGAGTTAACATGCCTGTATTTCAGAGGAACTGAAATCAAGAACCCACCTAACTTGTACTCATTTACTGGCTGAAGGGATTGCCTGGCTGTCATTTTGACATCAGCAGGCTTACCTATAAAGACCGCTCTCTGCTCACGAAGTTGGCTCTTCCTCAAAACATACATTTTAAACATTGATGAATAATATTATTCCACTAGTCAGCTTGTAATGCTTTTACCTTAAATTCACTTTTTAAAAGGAAGAATTGTAACATAGTTCCTAACGCGTTTTGTTTCTTTCTGTATACTAAAGCCAATAGAAAGGGGGGAAATGAAAGAAAGAACACTCTTCCAGACAACTTTGCACCTGGCATAAGAGAGAGAGCCACCTTGGTGTCCTGGTGAAGAGGCTGAGCTAGAAGCAGGAGGAGGTGGGTTCTAGCCCTCCCTTGGGAAGCTGGCTGGGTGTGCAGGTAAACGTACAGGTAGTCCTCAACTTACAACAGTTCCTTTAGCGGCTGTTCGAAGTTACAATGGCACTGGGGAAAAAAGTGACCGGAGACCGTTTTTCACACCTACGACAGATTGGCCACGTCACCAAAATTCAGATTACTGGCTGCTGACTCATTTATGATGGTTGCAATTTCTTGGGGTCACGTGATCCCCTTGTGAGACCTCCTGACAAGCGAAATCAATGGGGACGGCAGGTTCACTTAACAACCATCTTGCTGGCTTAACTGCAGGGATTCACTTGACGAATGCGGCAAAACTCTCTTAACCACCGTCCCATTTAGCAACAGAAAGTTTGGGCTCAATTGTGGTCGTAGGTTGAGGACCACCCGTACTTATCAGAGATGCGTTCACCGCCTTGAGTTGACCTATATAATACACACAGATGCTAAGATAGATAGAAAGATAGATAGATAAATAGGGATAGATAGGTAGATAGATAGATAAGATTGACAGGTGGGTGGATGGATAACTGGATGGAGAGAGGGGGAGAGAGCCACCTCTCCTCCTGCAGTATCAGAGGCCGGTCTTTTCCCCGGAGGGAGGGGGCTCATTCAACCTTCCAGCCCCTCCTTAGTTGCCCCCTCCCCCCCCCACTGCAGATGGCGATGAAGCCCAGAGCGCGGCCGGCCCTTCGGCTCCCCTCCCCTCCCGCTTGCTGGCTCGGCCGCGCGGCGACGCCCATCGTGACCACGCGGGGCTGCAGTCCCGGTTTCCGGAAGCCACGCGGGCAAGGCTGCCGGGATCAGGCCGCGGCGCTCTGCACGCGCTCAGAGGGCGGCCGCCGCCGCCGCCGCGCGCTTACTTGTCGCGGATGATAGTCTGCAGCTCCCGGATCTGGTCGTTCATGGGCAGCAGTTTCAGCTGGGCCGACCCCGACCCCGACCCCGACCCCCGCCACTCGTGAGGCGTCGTCGTCGTCGTGGCCGCCTCGGAGCCCTCGCCGCCGCCCGCGGAGCAGCCGTTCCCGCCGGCGCAGTAGCATCTGCTGCCCTCGGCGCTGCCGCTGCCGCTGCTGCTATCCGGGCTCGGACTGTCGCCGCTGCCCGGGCCGGGCTCGGTGAAGCGCAGCTGTCGCTGCCCGCCCTCGCCGCTCGCCGGCATCCCGGGCTCTGCTGCCGGAACCCCCACCGGGCCCACCACGCGCCGGTCGCGGCAAGGCATCGCCTCCATGCGCCGCCGAAGCAGCCACGGCGCCCCACCACGCGCTCCGCTTTACCTCAGCCGCGGGCCGGGCTCTGACACGGCCGGGATCGGGCGCTGCCATTGGTCGCCGCGTCAGCCACTCGCCGCCGCCCCGCCACTCTGCGTTCGGAGGAGGGGCCGGGGCCCGCCCTTTAGCCCGCGCGCGCGCGGGCTCTAGCCCCGCCTCTTTTTGGCCCAGGCGGGAGCTGTACATCCCAACTGAGGAGGCCGCTTACCTGCGAGGAGGGGCCGTGGGTCGGGCGGCTGCTGGCCCCTCGTGGGCCTCCCCGGAGTCCGTCCATTGGCTGCTGTGTCTCCCTGAGTGGGAAGAGAGAGAGAGAGGGTTTGCGCCGGCGGAAAGTGCCCATCCTCTGCTCGTTAAACTACATTTCCCAGAGTCCTTCGCGCGAAACCAGGACTCTTAAAGGGGCGGCTTATATTATTATTATTATTACTATTATTCTGCGTGGGAAAATTGGTCCCTTTTCTCATTGCAGGCAGGCCGGGCTGCCTCGGCTGGGGTTGTGCGCAAGCCGCAAGGGAGCGTCTTCCGGCAAAGAAGCCGCCGATCCTGCTTGCAAGCCGCCAAGGGCTGCATTTGCACAGGGGACTAAAAATGGAACGTTTTTCTGAATGGCGAAATCACCTTCTATTTCAGATCTCATAAGGCAAGAGCTACTTGGATCCTGCCTTTGCGAAATCGCATGCACGAGTAGCCCTCGACTTATTGCCATCATAGGGAGCTGCAGAATTCCCTTGGGGAGCAGGGCGGGTTTTTTTGTTTTTTGTTTTGCTGCAATTCAGAGCAAATCCCTGCCGTTAAGGGAGTTCGTGCTCTTGTTGGAGCGAATCCAAATTCCTCCGTTGAGTTTCTGAAGCCGGCTTGGGAAAGTCACAAATGGCAACAACAAGGAAGCTGCAATACATGGCTGGTTGCCAAGTGCTTGAATTTTGATCACCTAACTGGGGCTGCTGCCGAGGTCCTAATTGCAAAGGCATTCAAAGTAAGTCACTTTTTTTCAGTGCTGTTGTAACTTTGAAAGGCCACTAAATGAATGGTTGCAAGCTGAGGATTACTTGTAGCAGCTGTCTGTATTTAGTAAATCAGAGGTGTCGAAACTTGGCAACTTTAAGACTTGTGGACTTCAACTCCCAGAATTCCCCAGCCAGCAAAGCTGGGAGTTGAAGTCCACAAGTCTTAAAGCTGTCAAGTTTGAAGACCCCCGGACTAGGCATACCCAATTCCTACAATTGTTCTTCATATTTTAGTCGTGTGATGAGAAAATGTGGGTCCTTGAGAGCCTGCCTGCATTTACAGCTGCAGGGTGTCTTTGACCCTCCCCGTCTCTCTGTCCTTGCGGATGCTGCCCTGCACTCTGCTGCCAGTGCTACTCCCTCTGCCCTGCATCCCTGCCACACCCAGCTGACCTTAGCTGTCCTCTTCTGCCTTTTGCAAAGCAGCTGCTGGCTGTGCAGCATCCTGAATCTTTTCTCAGGAAAGGCCAGGTGTGCCTTGTCAGCAGCAACAGAAAACAGTGAAAGTTAGCTGGGGATGGCAAGGGCGGTAGTGTATAGGGGAGCCAATAGAGCAGAGATGGGCATGGAGGGAAGGTAAGTCGATGGGGGAGTTGAAGCAGAAATGAGTGCAGCAGGACATAGAGACTAATGACAATGCAGAGTTATTCTAATTATTGCAAATGGGACAACAAAAGTACCTGTATTACCATTAAGTGGTACAGTCACAAGATTTTTTCCTTATTAACCATTTCCCTTAGTGTTGGAAATTCCAATCCCAATTAGGGTTGGTAATCAAGGACCACCTCGGCTTCCAGTTCTTCCTCTCCTCCTGTTTCTTATTCTAGCTCTTCTGCTTTTAAAGGTGCACATCAGGCCAAAAAATAAGCAAAAGATTCAGCAGGGTGAATGTTTGCAGAGTCATGACTGCAAGAAAGGGTTTTTATCATTGAATTTATTCCAGTCTTCAAAACCTTTGCTGTTTCCTCCACCCTAAATTCCTGGTATTTATATGGAAACCCCACTCCCATCTTTTAAGTCTTACTTATAAGTTATTGTACATAAAACTGTAACATTTTGCATTTAACTCTAAGAATAAAAAAATGTATCCAGGTGTCTGATCAATAGAATAACCATTTATATGAAATTTACAGTTATATTTAATTCATACCTCTTAATTTTAAAAGTAATTTTTATATCCATTTCAGGGATGCCAAATTGGCAGCCTGTGGGCCGGATGCATCATGCACAGGCCACGCCCACCCCAGCTCCGCAAAGGTGAAAAATGTCGCAATATATCACATGACAGCAACATGACGCTGTGGGTTTGACAACCATGATTTATCTCAGAGTCCATTGCAAGCATGATCAAAACAGGGGATAGTCAATTAATTTTAGTACCAGTATTTTATTACTGCAGATCCCCAGCGTAACTTTCTCTTCTTGGTCACTCCAAGGCTCTTGTTCCTTTTTTGCGGTCACAAGTGATAAAGTATTTTATCTAAAAGATTTTGGTTGGACAGCAGATAAATTAACTGGGAAATTCTGCAAAAGTTTAGCAATCAATTATTCAATTACATGAATGTTGCTGAAATATATCATGTAGAATGCATTTGAAGATATCCTTATGATTATGTCAGTATCTAAAATCAGAGAAGTAATTGTCAATCATACCCCAGTATTCTTCATTTTGGCGAGATTCTACATACCTTCCGCTGTGTGTGTTGTGTAACACATAGGATTCCCAAATTCTTCCTGATGATTGACAGATGGTGGTAACTTTTATTAGGGATATTTTCCAATTCACATAACCATGCCAACAATCTGTTACAATTATACAGCCAGGTAAACAGACGATATAATTACATTTGCCAGTGTTGATGCAGATTAATTGTCAACAGCAGGTATGAAGCAGTGTCCAACAATCCTGTTTCCTACACAATCTTCCCACGTTGCATTTTTGTTGAATGAGCAGGCTCTCATCAGTTTCAACTGCGCTGGATCCACCAATGGCATCCTGGTTATTGGTGGAATGATTGCACACAAATCTCACACATGAAGTGATTCTGACCAGCTGTTGCTTACTTTGATTCTATATCTAGTTCTGACAGAAAGGGACACTTGTAAACTTTCGACCAGCAGGATATGAAAAAACTACAACGCAGTAAGGCAGATGGGTGTGCTCCAGCCACATACTAATTCCAAGGGAATAATAATATTCCAAGTGATATATTATTGATACAGTAAATGAATATTATCATTTTTTAAATATTTTGATAGATGTATGGGTATAAGTGAAGGGAATTTCTTGCAGACTTCAGGTGGTACCTCCAAGGATCTGGCTTGTCCTATAATAGGGCTCTTCAAACTTGACAGCTTTAAGACTTGTGGACTTCAACTCCCAGAATTCCTCCTCCAGTCATGTTAGCTGAGGAATTCTGGGAGTTGAAGTCCACAAGTCTTAAAGCTGCCAAGTTTGAAGACCCTTGTCTTATAACATTAGGATCTTTTCCAGGCCTTCAGCACACAGACTCAATGTATGGAGTACAGGTAGTCCTCAACTTATGACCACAATTGAGCCCAAAAGTTCTGTTGCTAAGTGACACATTTGTTAAGTGAGTTTTGCCCCATTTTACAACCTTTCTTGCCACAGTTGTTAAGTGAATCACTGCAGTTGCTAAGTTAGTAACATGGATGTTAAGTGAACCCAGCTTCCCCATTGAGTTTGCTTGTCAGAAGGTTGCAAAATGGGGTCGCATGACACTGCAATCATAAAGATGAATCAGTTGCCAAGGCTCTGAATTTGAATCACATGACCGTGGGGAAGCTGCAATGGAATGGTCATAAGTCAGTGCCACTATAACTTTGAACAGTCACTAAATGAACCATTGTAAATCGAGGACTAACTGTATTCTGTGATTCTGCAGGAAGAGACCGGCCCATTTCTTGTAGCTGACTTATGCGAAGTGCAACATCTATCCTGCAGCATGCTGGCAGAAATTAGCTAGAACAGGGACTTCCAATCATGGCAACTTTAAACCTGGAGGACTTCAACTCCCAGAATTCCCCAGCCAGCTTTCCTGGGAGTTGAAGTCCTCTAGGCTTACAGTTGCCAAGTTTGAATACCCTGAGCTAGATCGTGCTAGCGACATGAAATAGCCATATTGAAGCCACCTGGAGTCCCATAAAAGTGAGCAATGCCTATCAATTGAAGGAATGGATCCCTATCAAGCCACGGCTGTGGCTTCTGCTCTGCAGGAAAGAAGCAAGCGACAGAATAAGCTCAAATAAAGTGTGGAACGATGGGCCCTTTTATGACTTGTGGACTTCAATTCCCAGAATTCCTGAGCCAGGATTTTTTTTAAAATGTAGTAAATGGCTGGCTCGGGAATTCTGGGAATTGAAGTCCACAAGTCATAAAAGGGCCATTGTTCCCAACCCCTGCAATAAATAAGCAAAAACAAGAAGAGCCAACTTGAGGAGGAAGCGATCTTTGGCCTCCATCTTTCAGTTTATCCACCTAAAGCAAGAGTCTTCAAACTTGACAGC